AAGATAGTGTCTGTCCTTGAAAGTGAGATGAGTTTTTTGCAGACAACAAATAGATGGGTTTTTTTTCCTTAATCCATTCAACTAGTCTGTGTCTTTTGACTGGGGAGATCAGTCCATTAATATTTAAAGTTATTAATGAAAGATGAGTATTGAATCCTGTCATTTTTTTTCCCACTTACATTCTTGATATAGCTATACTTTTCCAGTTATACCTTCATTGAATTTCTTTCCGGAACCCCTTGGGTATAGTCATTCCTTTCTTCAGCAGTTTGTATTGCTTCCAGAACTTTCTGGAGGGCTAGTTTTGTGGACATGAATTCCTTCAGCCTATTTATGTCATGGAAGATTTTTCTTTCCCCTTCGACTATAATAGACGGTCTGGCTGGGTATAGAAGTCTGGTTGGCATCTATGGTCATTTAAAACTGGGAATACTTTGGTCCAGGCTCTCTGGCTTTCATAGTTTGCATGGAAAAGTCCGCTGTAATCCTAATGGGTTTTTTTTTTTTTTATATGTGACTTGTTTCTCTTTTGCAGCTTTCAGTATTGTCTCTTTGTTTTGTACATTTAGTGTTTTCAGTATGATGTACCATGTAGAGTTTCTTTTCTGGTCCTGTCTGTTTGGTGTTCTATATGCTTCTTGTATTTGTATGGGCATATCTTTAATTTTGGGAAATTTTCTTCCATGATTCTGTTGAAGATCTGGTCCATGCCATTATGTGGGGATTCTTCTTCCTGAATGCCTATGATTCGTAAGTTTGTTCTTTTTATGGTGTCACACAATTCCTGCATATTCCATTCTTGTGATTTCTTAAATTTTCCATAATCTTTGCTTGAGTGTTCTAGTTCGTCCACTTTATCTTCCAGTCTTGATACTCAGTTTTCCATTTATTAATCCTATTTGTGAGGCTTTCTCTTGTCTTTTCTAATTGTCTTACTGAGTGTTTCACTTCCAACTTCATTTCAGCCTACGTAGTCTTCAATATTTCTAGCTCTTTTCTGAATTCATTCAGAAGTTTATCCCTATATCCTTCAGTTCTTTGATTTCTTTGTGTGTTCTTTGAATTCACTGAATTCTTTTATCATGTTTATAATTGTCCTTTTGAGTTCCATGTCCTGCATATTCTCTAGTGCATTCTCATTGTACTCCTCTATAGTACTATTGGTATTTGGTGGGGATAAGTTATTTTGGTTTTTCATGTTATTATTTTTTCTCCATGATTTTGACATTTGAATTTCTTTTGTAGTTTCTGATTCTTATGTGAGACTCAAGTTTGTGAGATTCAAGCCTTCAAGTTTAGGTCTGCTTCTTTTTGTAAACTTTGTATCTTTGTGGTTTACCTTTTGGGCATGAAAAGCTGGTTCCTCTAAGCTTCTGGTTCTCTCTTTTGATTTTTATATTGGAGTGGCCAGATTGCATTTGTCTTCAGGAGTTCCCACAGAGGCCCATGTCAGATGAGGATCAGATGCTGTCAGGTTTTCTCCTAAGGTCTGGATCCCTCCAGCAAAGATTTTGGCCTTGGAAATTTGGGGGGTTGGACTGGCCTGGGAGCCAGGCCCAGGAAAGATGCTGGTCTAGGGCAGCTGGTGGTTGTACCACCCAGAGATGCAAAGGGAGTTTGGGGTGGGAAGAGGCCCCAACGGCTCCTGGGGAATGCACCGAGGAACTGGGTTGGTCTGGATGCACAGGATCAGGTAGAGGAAAGGTGAGCCTCGGGTTCAGGAAACAGGCTGGCAGGTTGTGCAGCTCAGGGAAGCAGAGGGAGGTGAGGGCGGGGCCAGGCTCAGAGGGCTCCTGGGGACCCCAGAAGGAACTGGGTTGGTCTGGATGCAAAGGATCAGGAAGCAGTGGTGGTTCCCCTGGTGTCTGGGGCACCAAGACCAGGAATGGGAGAGGTCCCAGGCTAGGAGAGATGGGTGGGGAGATGGGAGGATGAATGAGGCTGGGGGAGTCAAGGTGGGGGTGGGGGGTGGATCGACTTACCCCAGAGAGAGGCCTGCGGGTTGTGCAGGCCCAGGGAAGCAGAGCTCTTTGCACATTTTTTAACTGGGTTATCCATTTATTTTTGAATTGTCGTGGAGAGTTCTTTACAAATTTGTGAGACAATTACTTTGTCAGTTATATGATTTGCACACAATGTTTTCCTGTCATTTCACTTATGAAGCACAAAAGCTTTTTAATGAAGTCCAACGACTTTTATGAAGTTTGTGGTCATATCAGACTCCACTGTGAAATTTGAGATCTAAATTCATGAAGTTTTATTCGTTTTCTTCTGAATTTTATAGCTCATGTCTTATAGTTAAGTTTTTGACTCATCCTGAATAACTTCTGTATATGGTATGAGGTGCAAGTCCAGCTCATCCTTTTCTGTGACTTTCCAGTTGCCCCACCTTTGTTTAAAACCCATCTCTCCATTGAATGTCCTTGGTGCCTTTATGGAATCAGTTATCATACACTTGGGTTTATTTCTAGTGTGTTGATCTGTGTTTGTTCTTTTATAGTACTCTCTTACCTTTTTGTGGTAAATTCTCAAATTGGGAAATGTGAATCCTAATTTTATTTTCCTTTAAATTATTTTAGCTATTCTAAGTTCCTTGAGATTCTGATTACCTTGAACCTGTAGATCAGTTTGGGAAATTTTACCATCTTAACAATTTCAGTGTGCTTCATAAATGAATGTGGCATGTTTTCATGTTTAGATCTATTTTTTCAATAATGATTTGTACTTTCAGAGTTTATACCCCTTGCCCTTCTGTTATTCTTACATATTTTTGATGGTACTGTAAATACAACTGTTGATTTTGATGTTTTAATTCCAAGTATACAGTAGATGTTTTTTGTATATTAACCTAGTATCCAGCATCCTTGAAGTTAGTTTCCTTTCTTTTTTTGGTGGACTGAACCTAGGATTTTACACAGGCTAGGCAAGTACTCTACTACTGAGCTGCATCCCCAGCCCTGAACTTACTGGTTCTAAAGGATCATAAGTGCATTTTGTAGACTCTTCTATATGTAAGATCATGTAATCCATTCATAATTTTATTATTACTTTCCAAATCCCTTTTCTATTCTAATTACCCTAGCTAGAACATTCAATGCAATATTGGAAGCAGAAATCCCTCTATTGTTCCTAATATTAGGGAGAAAACTAGTCTATCATTGTTTAAGTATGTTCAGCATGTCCCATCCATCTCACCTATGTTCTCAGGAGGGTACCCTTTATCAGATCAAGTTAAGTTCCCTTTATCTTCCTAGCTTGTTGAGTGCTATATTATAAAAAGGTGTTAAGATTTTACAGAAGGCCTTTTCTTCTGTTTTGTTTTTATTTTAATAATATATTACACTGAATGGCTTTCATGTTAGACCAGCTTTCATTCTCATTATAAATCCCTTTCAATTACAGTGGTAATTTGTGTTTCTATGATTTAGTAGTTGAGGAATTTTGTACTTATGAACTGTAATTCTTATTTTTATGTGTTTAAGTGTATTTCCTGCATGTATATAAGTGCACCTGTATTGTACAGTATCCATGGAGGTTAGAAAAGGGTGTCAGATCCCCTGGAACTGGAGTTATGGACATTTGTTAGCCTCCATATGTGTGCTGGGATTTGAACCTGGGTTCTCTGCAGAGTAGACAGTACTATTAACCACTGAGCCATTTCTCTAGCCCATTTTCTATGTACCTTATGCTCAAACACTGCATTTTCTATGTCTCTGATCCTTTACTGCTTTCTTTTGTATTAGGTATTTTTTAATGTAGAAATTTTAGTAAATTTTTTTTGCTATATATGCATGTATGCACACACAAACCTTAATTTATCAAAAGCTGGCTTCAAATTCACACTAATAAAGCTCTAGTGAGCTATACAAGTGTTACTATTCTCTTTTCCTGTTATCCTTTTTTGTGATGTATTGTTTTTTTGTGTGTTCCATTCGTAAGTACTACAAATCTACCATTACTTTATTACTTGATTTAATGATGGTTTTTAAAGGAACTAAGAAAAGGCATGGAGGTATTTATGGATTTTGTTGTAGTAACCTTATTTATCAGGTATCACTTCTGCTTCTTGCATTGGTTCTTTGGATTTGAGCTGCATCTACAGTCACTTGTCTAATACAGCTTTGTTCCATCCACCTCCTTTGTACATGCCAGTAAATATATTTCTGTTGTAGCTCCAAAAAATCACAGACATTTTGTTTTATACTTTTTTTAAATGAAATATGCATTTAACCTTTGGTTATGTAACACTTTACAAGTACTCCTGGCCCTTTTCATGTATATTTGAATTACTTGTTTTCAGCATTTTCTTTCAGCTTTCTTAAAAGGGGATTCAGCTTTTATTTATTCACTTTTGAAAGACAACTTTGCTGGATGCAGTATTGTTTTTTTCTCTATTGTGAATGAGTTACTCCATTGCCACTTGTATAGTTTCTGATAAAAAGTCCTTTTTTATCTTATTGGAGTTTCCCTGTAAAGAAAAGAATTGTTTTTCCTGATGCTTTTTTTGGCTTTAGGCATCTTTACTTTGCTATCTCTGGGTAGGATCTCTTTACTTACTCAACCTAGTTAATTGAGCTTCCTCGGTATATACATTAATATTTCAAAATAAACTTGGATACTTTCAGTTTCTTCTTCTTCCTCAACAGGGTCTTGCTATATAGGCCAGGCTGCCCTCAAACTCTTGCTCCTCTTGCCCCTGACTTTGAGGCTATTTTCCTTTCTTTTCTTTTTCCTGTTCTCAGATAATACACTCTTGATTCAAGTCTGTTAATCTTTTTCTTTTTGCCAGTTTAGATCTACTGATTTCCTCTGCTAGTGAAGTGCATTTCAGTTACTATACTTTTTTACTCTGGGTCTTCACTCTCTTCTTACATTTCAGATTTTCATGAACAGGTGTTTATTTGCAATCTTTAAATTGCTGTTTTTTAGTATAGTTTTCACCACTCTGAGTGGGCAGCAGGTTCACAGATGTGGCTCTCAAGTGCTCTCATGATTTGCAGGTCACAAAAGAAGACAAGTCGTTCCAGAACATCATGCGCTGCTACAGGACTCAGCCACAGGCCCGGAGCCAGGTAACTTACGCTTTCTCTTAAGGCTGAAAATAAAGCTTAGGTCTGTGATGAATTAAAAAAAAAAATTAGCCATAGTCCATTCTGTACCTTTTTTTCCAGGATACACAATTAAGCCTCTAGAGGAATGGCTACTGATCTTTTACATCACTGACATACTTCATGCGAGTTATTTTGAGTTCTCTTTCTTCAAAGGCAGTGGTGTGAAATGTTTAATTCTGAGAATCATGAGGTCGATGCTAATTAAGAAGTTGTTTGGTTTCTATGTCACCTTTCAGTCTGGTTCAGTAAGCATAGTACTAAACTAAGACAATGTTTGAATGAAATTCAAAAATGTTCTATCTTATAATGACTTGATTTTATAGTTGGGTACTATTACTGCTCTGCAGTATTTTAGGCAGTAGTTGGAATTTGAAGTTAGGCTCTGATGTTAGTCCCAGCTGTTAGTTAATGGTAGTTAATAGCTATATGCCCTAGATCAGTTTTGTTTTGTTTGTTGAGATAATGTCTCACTATGTAGCCCAGTTTGGCTTTGAACTTCAACCCTCCTGCCTTGGCCTCTTGAGTGCTTTAATCACAGGCAGGTACCACAAAGCCTACCTAGGTTACAGTTCCTATTCCTGACATTCCCCAAAGACAATCATCACTACATGGATTTTTATGAGAAACAGGTAAATACGTGTCAAGGTCTCCCATCTAGGATGTATTCAATAAATGCTAGTGTCTGTCCACTTCTCCTTCTTTAAAGGTGTATAGAAGTGTTTTGATAAAAGGGAAAAGAAAAAGAAGAAATTCTGGCAGCAGTGACAGCAGAAGCCATCAGAATTCTCCAACAGAACTAAACAAAGACAGAGGTAAGATCTATATGAACTCTAGTTTTTGCCTAAGAAGACTAAGGATTACAAAATTAAAAACTTACAGAAGTCTTCTATTTTGGTTGGGTTGTCTCATTATGTAGCCCTGGCTGGCCTGGAAACTCAGGCTGGCCTTGATCTCAGAGATCCATATGCCTCTGCCTCTAGAGGGCTGGGATTAAAGGCTTGTGCCACCAGCTCAGCTTTATAGAAGTCTTCTACTGGTCAGTTGTCCTTCATTCCATGGCTTTGAGCATATATAGAATAACATATTTCAGATAGGAACTGCCAGCCTGAATTCCACAAAGAGCTTTCCTGTTGATTAGAGTCGTGCTTGCACCTAGCTGGTAGTTGGTACAGGGCTCAGGTTATATAGAAAACTTGGTATAACTAACTTAGTAAGCCTATGGTATGGTTACAGCATGAGAATAAAGTTATTAGTAATCTGAGCTTTGCTCTGTGGTATGAAGACCAAGAGAGCCAGTGGTGGTGGCCTGTGCCCGAAACCTAATTTCTATTGAGTCTAAGGTAGGAACATTGTGAGTTCCAGACCTGCATGGACCCTATAGTAAGACCCAATGTCGGGTGGCTCACAACCACTTATGACTCTAGTTTCAGGAGATCTGGTGCCTCTGGCCTCCATGGGCACTTGCACTCACATACATCACACACAGAGTGAGAGTGAGCAAGAGGGAGAATTCAAAAACACAACAAGTACTGGGCAATAGCTCTGCCTGAAAACCATGTGCTGCACAAAGAGGAGGACCTGACTTGGATCCCTAGTACCCACAAAAAAGAGCTGGAGATGGCAAGCATTTGTAATCCCAGTGCTTGGGAAGAAGATACAAATGGACCCCTGGGGCTTGCTGGCCAGCCAGTTAGTGTAACTGGTGAGCCCCAGATCCCAGCGAGAGACTGTATCTCAAAACACAAGGTGATGGATGACGCCTCCCCCAGGAAAGACCCCTCTGGTCTCTACATACATGTACTCCTGCACACACATCTCTATGTACAAACACACATACAAAACCCTCATTCTTAAGTAACATTGCCTGTTTATTGCTATTAATAAGTAGTGCACATAGCTGTTCTTTTTCCTAGTGAAGTTTTTTAAAAGCAATACATCCTAGCACTGTTTGTTCTCTTGGCTGCAGCCAGTAGAGACTCCAGTCCGGTCATGAGGTCAAACAGCACCTTACCAGTTCCACAGCCAAGCAGTGCCCCTCCTACACCAACTCAGCTCACAGGTGCCAACAGTGACATCGAAGAGGAGGAGAGAGGAGACCTCATTCAATTCTACAACAACATCTACATAAAACAACTTCAAACATTTGCCATGAAGTATTCACAGGCAAACGTAGTAAGTGTGACAGGGATTATTTCCTGCTTCTTTACTTCTGAGGGATAAGCAATCATTTGTTTGACCTTTTCCACATATAAGCCAGATTTACAAATAACTGTTTTATTAAATAAAACTTAGGAAGTCTGTAACAAGTAATTTGCCTAATCAACATAATTTCTATTGATGTTAAGCACTAAGAATAAGACTATAAGGGATTACCTACATATAGCAGAACGAGACAGCAGCTACATGAGTTTAAAGTGTTTAACATTTTACAATGATGACCCTGAAAAATGACTTCACTTTCTCTTTTTGTCACCTCATATATTAAATGAATATAGTAGCAGTTACTAGTTTATTGGGGTGTGAAGATTCAATGATGTAATACATAAAAAATGCTTGACATAGTGACAACAAACTAAGCATTTAAAAATGTTTGCTATTAATGAGTTTCTTTAGGTTTGATTGTTGCTAATGTATCACACTGAAAAGCCTACTGGTTTATTATACCTCTTAATTCAATAAAAAACAAGGACCTTCAATAACCATACCTGGCTAGAAGTTTTTTTCTCAGAATTACTGATTTTGTTTTCAACAGATGGATGCTCCTCCCCTCTCTCCCTATCCATTTGTGAGAACAGGCTCCCCTCGCCGAATACAGCTGTCCCAAAATCATCCTATCTACATTTCTCCACATAAAAATGAAGCAATGCTTTCTCCTCGAGAGAAGATTTTTTACTACTTCAGCAACAGTCCATCAAAGGTAAGATTTGACATAAACCTTGGCTTTTACTAACCCCAAATTTTAGCTTTAGGATGCTAGAAAAAGTTTCTGCTAAGACTAGGCACTTACTAGAGTGATGGGAACTGCCAGCCAGCAAGTCACAATGAGCAAAGTCCAGGGTTGACCTAAATGACTCATGAGAACTTGAGGGTTGGAAACAGTAGAACTCCACTTATTTTCTCTCTTTTCCTCTTTGTACATTTTGAACATTTGCTATAAATCGAGATTTGTGGATTTTCTTCATTTGTAAAATTTAATTTTTCTATGTTTCTGTCGGAAATAGAAAACTTGTATCCCAAACTGGTCACTGACCCTTATTTCTGCAACAGGCAATGTTTCTGTCTTCTGGACTCTCTGAGACAAGAACGGAGTGCTCAGTGTGATACAAGTGTGTGATAGGTGTATGTGGCAGCATCTGCCTCAATCTGAGAGCAGGGCAACTTGAGGCTTAATGGTGAAGAGTTATAAAGCTTCTGAGATGTGGTAGTTCATCCAGGGAGCAGAGAAGAAGAAAGTAATGTCCTCAAGGCAAAAGGCTAGCTCACTGAGAATCACAGAAAATAGATGTAGGTGGGTTAGGTGGAGAAATCAAGAGCCATGCAAGCCAAATGCAATGTGTGCTGTCTTATGAGGGGATACTGCTTAGGAAAATACTATTACAAAGGGCAGGGCTGGGATCTGATATCATACCTGAATGCCTGAAGTCCTTTGGCCTCCACACACATGCATGCACACTCACTTTATAAGGTAACATACACCACTGCTTGTCTAACCACAGAATTAAAAAAAAGACCCTCTAAACTTAAAAATGTGTAGGTATAGACAAAGGAGATGAACTGGAACCACAATACTCAATTCCAAAGAAAGTAAAAAAAGAGAAAAAAGGCAGGAATATATGGGAAAACTGTAAATAGCAATTAAATTTAAGTGGTCTAGGGGGCTGGAGAGATGGCTCAGTGGTTAAGAGCACTGGCTGCTCTTGCAGAGGACCCAGGTTTGAATCCCAGCACCCACATGGCAGCTAACATCTGCCTGTAACTCTAGCTCTAGGGCCTCCAATACCCACTTCTGATCTCCATAGACAATGCACAAAACAGGTGCACTTACATAATGCAGAGAGTACACTCATACACATAAAATAAATGTGGGTTTTTTTGGTCTTTTTGAGACAGGGTCTCCCTGTAGCCCCAGCTGGCCTGGAACTCACTATGTAGACCAGGCTGACCTTGAACTCACAGATATCCACCTGGCTCTGCCTCCCAAGTGCTGGGATTAAAGACGTGTACCACCATGCCCGGCAAAATAATATATTTTAAAATTTTAAGTGGTCTAAATATACAATTGAAAGAAATTGTTAAAAGGGCAAAAAAGACCAGACTACATACATATAAGTAACCTGCTTCAAATGTGAAGACAGTTTAAAAGATAACCCAAATGTTTAGTAGTTGATAAATAAAATATGTATATTTATACAATGGAAAGAAATGGCTCTAAAAAGGAATGGAATAAGAGTCAATCTTCAGTAGAGATGGGCCTTGAAAACATTAAGTGCAAGAAGTTACTCATAAAAGACTACATATGATTCTACTTAAGTGAAATGAGCAAAGAAGTAGAAGCAGAAAGTAGATTAGTGATTGCCTAGGAGAGAATAGTTTCTGCTAATGAGCAAGATTTCTTTGAAAGCAATTAAAATTGACTGTGGACATGGTTGCACAACTCTGGAACATGTAAACAACACTGGAGTTATATACTTTAAACTGGTTAACTATCAGTATGTGGATTAAGGATGTTATGTGTTAAAGGATGGAAAAAACATTTCCATGCTAACACTAATAGTTAAAGAAAACTAGAGTAGCTGTGTAACTAGACTTCACAGCAAAGAATATCAGTGATAAAGAGATTCATTGGACTCTCAGAAAAGCAAATGCCTATATGAGGCTTTAGATTCAATTCTGAGAAGGAAAGTGGTGGGGGGTGCGCGGTGCTCTTAGTTGATGCTCAGAGATCTATGATCTATGTTAATTCTGTCAACATAATTGATAGAATAAATAGGTAGAGAACATAAATGAAGATATAAAAGATGTGAACATCATCGAGCAAACTGACCTGTACAGGATACTCCTACAGCATCAATTGCACATGGGATGGTTTTAGAAACATAAACTGCACTCTAAGACAGGTCTTAGTACAGTGCTGAGGATCAAACCCAGTGCTTTGTCCATGCTACATAAGTGTTCTACCATTGAGTTACACCCCCCATATTCTCGATAAATTAAAGGATTCAAAGAATGTATTTTTTGTGGTCATAATGGCACTAAATCAGAAATCATTAATAAGAATGAGATCTGTAAAATCCCCCAATTTTTGGAAGCTAAATATCAGGTTTCTGTGGATCAAAGAGAAACTAAAAGTGTTCTGGAGTAATGAGAACCTGAAATATTAACATTTGTAGACTGCAGCTGAAGCAGTACTAGCAGAAATTTTATATCACTCAACATTTCTAAATGACAAATTGCCAGTTTAAAGGGCTAAGGATTAACTTTCTAATACCGTGCTCTGCAGAAGACATGGTCCGATTTTGTGCAGGACCTACACTAGTAAGACTTAAGACATAGCCTCAGTAGCCCAGTATCTGTTGAAAAAATATTTCTAGTTTGTTTTTGAGACAGGAGATTACACTATGTAGTCCAGGTTGGCTCAAACTCCTGCCAGACTTCCAGCCTTAGCCGCCTAAGTGCTGGGATTACAGACATGAGCTACCATGCCAGGCTTAAATTTTTACTTTAAAAATCTCTTGAGCCAGGCGTGTTTACAAAGGCCTTTGATCCCAGCACTCTGGAGGCAGAGGCAGGTGGATCTCTGAGTTCAAGGTCAGCCTGGTCTACAAATCGAGTTCCAGGCCAGCTGATGCTACAGGGAGACCCTGTCTCAAAAAGACACAAAGAAACAAACAAAAAAACCTCAAATAACACTGTAGCTACAGAAGGCTTTACTGGTGAATTCCATAAGGAAGAAATAATGTCGGTTCTACATTAACTATCAAAAAAAAAAAGTAGAGATAAATTATTTTGTAGTTCAAGGAAAACATTTGATAAACTCCAACATTCATCCAGGTCAGAATTCTCAAAGAAATGGTTTAATGCAGATTTGCCAAAATATTTGCAGATCACATCATCCCTAATATTGAGAGACTGAATGCCTACTTCCCCTTAATATCAGAAGTAAGACAGGGATATCCACTCTCACTTCTGCTCAGCCTGGGTCTGCACATCCTGCCACGTGCAACAAGGCACTATAAAGAAGGCATACTTGGACTGTGTATAGAACACCCCAAAGAAGCTACAGAATGTTACTGTGGTAGCAAGATTGGGATAGCCATGCAACTGATATGCAAAAGTAAGTATTTATGCTACTAATGAAGAACCTGAAGTAAAACCATTTTTAAACAACATTAGTAGCATTCAAAATAAATAGGAATGAGTTTTTAAACTACAAAATCTTATTGGATGAAATTAAAGCCCAAGGAAAAGGGAGAAATGTCATATTCATGAACTAGAAAACAATCGGTTTTCTTCCACTTTATAAGCTTCTAACTTCAGCCAAAATGCCAGCAGAATTATTTGCATAAAGTAACCAATTCTAAAATTTATGTCAAACGGCAGAGGAACTAAAATAATACAACTTTGCAAATGTCAATTTCAGGGCTTATATTTGTGTTGCTTTGAGCACAGGCGCAGACAATGGAACACCCAGGAGCAGGCCATGTATACGCGTGAACTGATTTTTTCATAAGTATGCAGTGGCAATTTGTAGAGAATAGTTATTTCAACAGATGGTGCTGGAACAAGTGGCAATCTGCACACCATAGTAGTAAACTTACACCCATACCTTGCACCACATGTAAAAATTAATTTAATGAATCAGAAATAAACAAAATCTTGGTGGACATGTGTTATGGATTGCTCATGTACAACATCAAAATTTCAATCCATGAATATTACATTAAAACTAAGAATTTATGCTCTTTAAAAGACAGTTAGGCAAATGAACAAAAGGCTGGGGAAAAAATACTGAGACATCCTATTTCTGATAAAGGATTTGTGTGTGTCTATACTAAAAAAAAAAAAAAAAAAATCTTCAAAATCCAATGGGAAAACAGCACCAAATGTACAAGTTCTGGCAATGATGCGCAGTAACTAGAACTCATACACTGCTGGAAAGACGGTATAGCCATGCTGTACACCTGGGCAGTTTCTTCTCAATCTGAATTCATCTTTACATACATCACTAATCTTACTCCTATGTATCTAGTGAAATGACAATTTATGTCATACAAAAACATGAATGAATATTTGCAGTAATTTTATTCCTAGTCACTGAAAAGTTGAAAGAAAAAAAAAAACAACCAAAATGTATTTCATCTGATTAATGGATAAACCTGCAATTCAATGAAATGATACAGTAAAAAACAGCACTCAGGAAGTGGTAGAAAGAGCCTATTTCAGATCAGGGCAGCTTGGGCTACACAGCAAAACCCTGTCTCATACCTAAACCTCACCAAACCCCAAAGCCCATCACACCCTAAATCAATCCAAATAGCAAGTCAAATCAGAACAGAAATTACTAGCAAACTCAATAGCATGGATGAGCTCCAGGGCATTCACAAATAAGCAAAACAACTAGAACTAGTTGCTTATTACAGGATTCCATTTCTCCAGCACTCCAAAGACAACAAACTATAGAACAGGTAACACCAGTGGGTACTTTGGGCTGGGGGAGAGAATAATGGGGCATAAGGGAATTTTTTGGAGAAAAGGAAATGCTATATTTTTGTGGTGTTTACACAAGTAGGTATGTACCTAAATATACAGAACTATACATTTTACTGTATATAAATCTGAACGGAAAAGAGGAAATCTATACTGTGTATGAAAAAAGGACATCTGTGGTTTTAATCCTACTTCTACAGTATCACCACCAGGGGAAATTTGGAGTTTCTCCACTAAATGATAGAAACTGTTAAGACTGCTGGGGCTGAGGAGATAGCTCAGTCAGTAAAGTGCTCTAGAACCCATGTTTGTTGTTTTTTTAATTTAAAATTTTTTTTATTTTATGTGTATGAGTGTATTTCCTGCATTTAGGTAAGTGCACCTGTGTCGTGCAATGCCCACAGAGGTCAGAAGAGGCTGCTGGATCCCCTGGGACTGGAGTTAACACTTGTTAGCTGCCATGTGGGTGCTGGGATTCAAAATTGGGTCTTCTGCAAGAACAACCAGTGTTCTTAACTGCTGAGCCATCTCTCCAGCCCATTTTTTTATTTTTTGGTCTTTTTGAGACAGGGTCTCCCTGTAATCCCAGCTGGCCTGGAACTCACTATGTAGACCAGGCTGGCCTTGAACTCACAGAGATCCACCTGCCTCTGCCTCCTGAATGCTGGGATTAAAGGCGTGCGCCACCACACCTGGCCTGTTTTTTAATTTTTAAAAATTTATTTTTATGTGTAGGAGTTTTCTGCCTGCATGTTATGTAAGTGCACCACATGCATGCAATGCCCAGGGAGCACAGAAGAGGGCACTGGATCTCTGAACTGTAGTAACAGTTGTCAGCTGTCACGTGGGTATAAGAAAGTGAACCTGGGTCCTCTGCAAAAGCAGCCAGTACTCTTTAAGTGCTGAGCCATCTCTCCAGCCCTCTGAACCCATGTTTAAAAACAAATAAATGGGAGAAGTAATGTGTGTGTGATCCTAGCAGTGGAGAGGTGGAGACAGGCAGTTCCGTGGACCTAGCTGGCTAGTCAGCCTAGCCTACTTTGTGAGTTCCAGGCCAGTGAGAGACGATATATCAAAAACAAAAGAAAAAAGGTGGACAATCTGAGCAACACTCGAGATTGTCCCCTGGCCTCTGCATATACACATACACCATTAAGACTGTTGATGGAGGGGGCTGGAGAGATGGCTCAGCACTTAAGAGCACTGACTGCTCTTGCAGAGGACCTGGGTTTGGTTCCCAACACCCACATGGTGGTTAACAACTGTCCATAACTCCAGTTCCAGGGCATCTGATGCCTTCTTCTAACTCTGCGGGCACTGCACAACATGAGTGCACAAACACAACATGCAGGCAATACATTCATACACATAAATAAATGTTTAAAAGGACTGTTGATGGAGCCTGGTGTGGTGGTGCATGCCTTTAATTCCAGCACTTGGGAGGCAGAGGCCGGCAGATCTCTGAGATAGAGGCCAGCCTGGTCTTATATAGCAAGTTCCAGGTCATCATCTGGGACAGGGAGACCCTGTCTTAAAAAATCAAAAAAAAAAAAAAAAAAAAAAAAAAAAGAAAAAAAAAAAAAAAAAAAAAAAAAAAAAAAAAAAAAAAAAAAAAAAAAAAGGCAAGGGGCCCCCGTTTTTTTATATGAAAATGTCCAGGGAAACAATGGGAAAGGGGAGCCCCTTTTTAAAAAAAAAAAAAAAAAAAAAAAAAAAAAAAAAAAGGCAGACAAGATCAAGAAAAACTAGTACAAAGTAAGTAGCTTGGCTCTACAGACAGCCTAACATGTTCACTCCAAGGAGCAAAGAAAACTGCCAAATATCATAGTTATATGAGGACTTACTCTTAGTGGATTGGTACAGCTTGTTGAAGAATCAATTATAGTACTGTTTATGTTCTTTAAAAGTATAGTATAAAGGGGCTGGAGAGATAGCTCAGTGGTTAAGAGCACTGGTTGTTCTTACAGAGGACCTGGGTTGGGTTCCCAGCACTCAATGGTGGCTAACAACCATCTCAAACTTCAGTCCCAAGGGATCTGACCCCCTTTCAGGCCTCCATGGGCTCTGCATGTACTTATATACATGCATGCAAAACACCATACATATAAAATAAAAATAAATATATTTTTCAAAAAACAAAAAGTAATTAGGAGGAAATAATAATTAGTGGGGTTTAGCCAATGATAGAGATGTACTATAAAATACTATATAGAAGTTAAATAGAGCCACACGCACAAACCAGCCCTGATTTATACAGTGGAATAGCAGTAGGTACCCTGGAGACTGGAGGAGAATAAAGAAGTTTCATGTTGGTGACAAGGCTCAGCAGGTAAAGACACCTGCCACCAAGCTCGAGGACCCGAGTTTGACCCCCAAGACCCACACAGCAGGCGTGAGCTTACTCCTGCATGTTGTCTTCTGATCTTTATCTGGACCTGCACACAAGACAATAAATAAGAGGCCAGGTGTATTTTCTATGAAATTGCTTTAGAATAAACATTTGAGGGCTAGCAAGAGGACTCAGCGGGTAAAAACACTTGCCTCACAAGCCTGGTGACTTGGGTTTCCTATCTGGAACTCACATAAAGGTGGAAGGAACAAGCCACTGATATCCACATGTACGCTGTGGAATACATATCCCTCCCCACACAAAAATTTTTTTAATTGTATGTTTAAACTGTTAAATGCACATTGTATAAATGAATTATGTACAAACTACCTTGTATTGTATACATTTGTATGTACATAATAGTATTATCACAATGTACTAATGTATTAATTACAATGTATTATGTACATTTGATTAATTGTACAATTAATGCATAATGTATTAATGTGCTATGTGTCTTACAGAACCTAGCCATACATTGTAGAGTAACTTATTTTATAGTTTATGCAATATTTAATTAACGTAGTCAATGAAAAATATAAGGAGTATTCAGGTGAGCAGGAAACCTATAGAGATAGCAAATGCAGACTAGACTTCTTTTAGGAATAAAAAGGTTCAAAGTACACTTGCTTAGTATGGTTAAGGTTTTCGAAAATACATAGCAAGGTACCAGAAAATAGCATGTGAACAAACTTTGAGGCGCTCAAGAAACAATGATGCTACAGAAGAGATTTTAGTCTTGCATTCTGGTGATGTCTTTCTTCACTGAGTTGCTCACAGAACATGGAGGAAAATTTTAGTAACTTCTCAATTTTCTCAAGAATAGCATTAGTCATTATACACCCAGAGGTTGCTAATTCATTACATGTAAATGCCTTAGGGAACTAAAGCTTATTTCTCTAGTGAAATTCTAGTGGAGAAGGACATCTAGAAAATGAATGACATCTAACCGGGCCTGGTGGCTACTTGGGAGACCAAGGTGGGAAGATCTAATTTCAAGTCCTGCTTGGGATACAAAGTGAGTTCAAAGCTAACCTCGCCAATTAGCAAGACCCTGTCTGGAAATGAAAAATAAGCCAAGTGTGGTGGCTCACATCTGTAATCTCAGCATGCAAGACTGACACAGGAGGACTGCCATAAGTTTGAGGCCAACCTGCGTTATAAGGCAAGTTCCAGATCAGCCTAGGCTGACAATGACATCCTGTCTCAAAAATACAAGAAAAAAGAAAAAGGGCTTGAGACAGGGTCTTGCAGTGTAATCCTGACTGACCTGGGACTTGATGTACAGACCAGGCTGGTCTTGAGCCTGCAGCAATCCTCCTGTCTCTACCTCCTGAATGCTGAGATTACAAGTGTGAGCCACTAAACTTGCTGAGGTCAGTTATTTAAGTGGATATGGGGCCACTGAGATGGCTCAGTGGGTGGGAACCCTTGCTATGTAAGCCTGGCAACCTGAGTTTGATCCTTAGAATCCATGTAAAGGTGGAAATGAACTAAATCTACAAAGTTTTTTTTTCCCTCTGACATCAACACATATACCATGGCACATGCACTCACATACAAACATTGTGCACATACACACAACAAAATTTAAAATTTGATGATTAAACGTGGCCTAAAAGTATAGTCACCTAACACTATCATGAAAACAAAAACAAGTTGATGAACTTGTGTTCATTGTAAATATGTGTACACTGTATCAAAATCATCAATGAATCCTATTAAAAATGGAAATACTGGGTGCTACCCAGAGAGTCATGAGTTTCTGCAGACCAGAAGTGAAGTTAGTAGGATGTATCATTTAGGCTTTCTTTTCTCTATAAAGATGTTCAAATTCTTAAACTGCTTATTCATTTGAGATTCCTTAACTTAATACTGAGCAATGTGCATTAGCATTTTGAAGTTTTTATATCTGTCTTTTCCTGACCACAGAAACTGAGAGAAATTAACAGTATGATACGGACAGGAGAGACTCCAACTAAAAAGAGAGGGATTCTTTTGGATGATGGAAGCGAATCACCTGCAAAAAGAATTTGCCCAGAAAATCATTCGGCTTTATTACGTCGTCTCCAAGATGTAGCTAATGACCGAGGTTCCCATTGAGGTTAGTCTCCCGTATGGAAACTGTCTTTTCACGAACTGTTTCACAGCAGCATTTAAAGCATACTGGATTATGGAGCCTTGTTCCTTAATCCAACAATTAATTAGAGCCTGGCAGAAAAAAGAAGGTTCTGGCTGGGCAGGGTGGCACCTGCCTATAATCCCAGCACCCAAGAGAATCAGGAATTTAAGGCTAGCCTTCGGTAATGAGACCCTGACTCAAAAACAAAACAAAAAGTGGAAGGGACTTCAAGGTGAGAAATCAGACTTACTCCTTCCAGTATCCTTAGGACATTTTTATTCATCCCAATTGCCTTTCCCCTATGATTTAATGCTAACCTTCAACATTTCTTAGAATCCAAACGTGGGATTTTTAACACTGGTATACTTTTACAAGTACTGCAGAAAACAAGATGTCATATATAAAAAGCCTCTGTTGACATGTTTCAGCAGAGGAAATTAATTTTAAATTAATTTCTACCTGCATATGGTCAGCTCCAGTCCTTACAAAAAGCAACACAAAACTTAGGTATTTTTGTCCTAAAACAGATGGAAGGGAGTATAATAAGACTTTCAGTCACTAGCCTAAGGTTCCTGTTCCTTTTGTGCACTTGTCCCCTTTCCCAGTAGGTGTGGCAAAGTGTGAAAGTTGTGCAATATTTGAATGGACCTGTATAAGTGGTGGCACTTTAAGGCTGTAAAATGCATGACTCTGTAACCCAGATTTGCTGTATATCTATGATGGCACTTTCTACAGTGTAAACTTATTAGGTATAAGATTTCTAGGTTAAGCAGCCAACATTTTCTTTAATGCTTTTATACTTTTTAAGAGACTGTTAATGCCTTAGTAGCTACCTTTTGGGCATGTGTAGACTTCTCCAGTTTATGGTGGTAATGTTACATAGTGATCAGCTAGCTAAGCAAGATTTTAAAATCAAGTCAAATTGAGGGCATTGATTTGAAAAATTATGACTGCTTCCTTTAGAAGTATCTTTGGGTGTATTCCTGGAAGTTAAAAAAATATGTTGGAGAATTTAGGTTTTTATTAGTACATAGTACCATTATACAAATTAGAAAAATATTTAACAGCTGTTGAATTATCTACATATATCTTTATTAATCATTATTGTTCCAGTAGTTTTAACGTTGAATTAATAATCTTATTAGGGAGAAAATTTAATTGTAAATTGAATCATAAACAAAGTTACTAGGTAACTTCATATTGCTCTAAAAGACATAATAGAATTTATACTATTCAATTAGAATAGTGTTCTGAAAAAATATTTATAAAACCTGATACTGCTACTGTAATTTTATATGAAAATAAGTGTATTTTTCAATAAAGCAATTTATAAATTAGTCTGTTTAGTTATATTGAAAAATTATTTAGTGTCCTGTATAAATGACAAAAAACAATCATTTATTGATTTATTTTATCTCTACTAAACACATTAGTCATTCATCATTTAAATATCTGACTTCATTAGAAACAGTTTTAACACTTTTTCTCCCTCCTGCCATAAAAATACAGTGATTTGCTTTTTTTAAAAAAAAACAAGTAGGAACAAGCATTCTGGTTTCCTGCTACTTTTCTGATGTTTCTCAGAGATAGCAGTTATAGATCTGTAAGACAGTAGGCTGAAATGAAGTTCAGACAATCTTCCACTTCAAAGTGCTGCGCTCCTGAACCTGCTCTCTACACCCTTCTTCTCCATAGCCCAACATATGTACAACTGAAACCACCAACCAGCAAACTGTTAAGTAGTGCTAATCTCACTCCATTCTATTAAGTAAATGCAACTTACCTCTAGTAGTGTATTCAGAAAAATACTTAAAACCTCAAGGTCCCCAATAATTTGGAGTACTGAACTAGATAACCACCCTGACACTTCTGACAGAAGTAAAGCATTACTTGATGAGGTTTCCACAACCTGCTGTTAGAACCTACGCATACACGACAACACTGATAACCAGTTACTGTTCACGCAGTTTACACTTCAGGCAGTCCTTCGCCATTAGTCAGCTTTAACTAGGCCAGAGTCCAGCAGGAAAGTGCATGGTGCACCAGATCACCATCTCTTAAGTTGCTACTGTTTTCTCTTCTTTACTGAAAGGCTGTACTGAGCCAGGCTTTACCCATGACAGGCCAGCAACATGAACACTTTTATTGTGCTGTTCATCAGGCTTCTTCTAGGCACAATCAAAAACAGAGATTAAAAAAAAAAAAAAAACTGATGAGGGGAAAATTCAGCACCATACTAATGAGTTTCCCCACATTGAGCTGTAACTAGTGGAAGATACTGTGGACAAGGAACAGGGAGAGCCATTTCAAAGGTGACTGTCTACTTACTTTCTGAGTCAGCATCTTCTCTCTGGCTTCATCATGTACAGAAGGGTTCCATGGAGAAAAGCTTCAAGGGCAGAAAAATATTAAAAATAGTATGTGGGTTTCTAAATGTGTACAGCATTCATTTTTCAATCAAGACAATTCTAATAAAGCTTACAAAGAATATGTTTAAAGAGTAATCTTTAACCAGCTGCCAACACACATGCTGTTGTCTAAAGGAAGTTTTCACCTGACAGCTATCTTTATTTCTTATACATGGATTTATCCCTTCAAACCTCAGATCATCCTGAAATACTACTATCTAAAGATGAAGAGACCAAGGCACAGTAAAACAAGTAACTGCTTTGGATCACCACAAATTAAAAAGGCACAGAAGCCAACCAGTCCATCAGCTGAGCCCATACTCAACCAACACATGATACTGCCTTCCCAACAGTACTAATGTTACCACAGAACAAAATCACCCATCTCTAAATCTTCAAACTCCTTCACAAGTTTTCCCACAATCAAATGAGTTACAGGAACCCTCCTTTTCTTCTTTTTTTTTTTTTTTTTTCGTTTTTGAGACGGGGTTTTCCTGTAGCCCCAGCTGGCCTGGAACTCAATATGTAGACCAGGCTGGCCTTGGACTCACAGAGCTCCCTCTGCCTCTGCCTCCCAAGTGCTGGGACTAAAGGCGTGTGCCACCATGCCCAGCTCAAACCCTCTATTCTTAACATTCCACACTTTCTCTTCACCAAATCTAAAGGGAAGAACAGTTTAAAGGGTGGGGGGGGCACATCAGCTAACACTGCTTTCTGCAAAGTCCTCACAGGGGAATGAATAAGCACTTTACAAGGATTCTCAGGTATAGTGTTACTGGCACAGTGTAAGCAACATAAAGACTTTTGTTTAAGGCCAAGCGCTCAAGTGGCATCAGAAATTGAGTAATCAAAAGATAAGCGCTCTAGGCTAATACATATGATCCTTCTAATGCCTCATTCTGAGACCACCTGTAAAATGGAAGTGTAAGGCAAAGCCCCACTCACCTAATTGCATAGGGGTCTTCTATTTTCGGTTGGTCAAACAAACGAGCAGTACATACTTTAACACTGTCGACCACTTTACTTTTAAAAAGCTGCACATCTTTTTCATACCTATGTTAAAAGTTTTAAAAAAATTACCAATTTAACCTCCTTAGCCACATTTTGAAATTTATCTTAAAGTAAAAGCCACATACAGTACTGCAGCCTCTGGGTTGAGGGGGCTTGTTGTGTCGATCTTGTAGAAAACTCTCCTTGCGTACATTAACACCTGCCATATATGATTATGGTTCCGCCTGCAGAGAAGAAGCATGGTTACTGAGGCCTGTTCCTGTTGTCTGTATAACTGGAAGAAATGCTGATACACTAACCTCCATTTTGCAAATGTTCTCTTCACATCTAGTTCACCTGAGGTGGGATCAACTAGTGGGTGAAAGACTGGAATATCAAACACCAAGCGCTGTATGTAAAGAGAGACAGCCTTTAATAGTTAGTAGATCCTAGAGAGAAAGTTCAGGATAACATGGCTATCAGAGTCATATCAGCCTCAAGGGTCCTCAACCATTATAACCATTTTTCTGTAGCTAACGGCAATGGGGGGAGGGAGTTACTGCAACATGGCCATCACCAGTCACACAGTGAGTGGTGTAGTACCACCCCCAGTTTCACATACACTCTGAGTAAAGAAAAGATGAACTTGGTAGGTAGAAGATGCCATGACCAAAGAGGTAACAAAGCACCAAACACTCATGAAAGGCTATAGGGAGACATGTATCTGAGGAAACTGACATCATTACAAGATTTAGGTCAGGAGAAGAACCAAGAAATCTGTAAGCCACAGTTCCCCATCAGTGAATGCACTCTGCACATAGGCTCAACTGTGTGTCCTACTTACTGGACAGTCGCCATCCGGATAATTATCAGGAATATAAACTGTAAACTTGAACACGCCATCCTGATAAAGCCCATGCCGTATGAATATTACTCCAAACCACACTGCAGGGAAAAATAAACACGCTGAAGTCCCATCTGTCTCAGAGGAACGAACCATGCCATATAAAAATGAAGATTGGATCCATATCTTACTTAATGCAGAGCGGTAAGATGGCTGTATATAGACACCTGGTAACTTCTGCTTCACAACCAGGGTACTAAAACAAAAGCAGTACAATAATTAGCTGGTAGATGTCAATGACACATACAGGTCACGCCACCCCACGTTCATTTCCTGAGACAAGGCATGATACCTCGAGGGGCAGCTGGTGCCTAAACTATACAAGTCAAGTCATCCTGATCTCTTACCTGACCCTGACCCAACTCTAAGCATCGCCCTGATGGACCACCCATATACCGGCTTCAAAAGCAGCCCACAGACAAACTTGACAGCCAAACAGGAGACACAAAGAACCACATTTTACTCCCAGAAACTGATAATTTGAGGCCATTAAAGGAGGTAAATGTAAAGCTACTGCTTTTACCAATACAAATTCTAGAGCTCACACATTAAAAATGTAATATTTTCCTTTTGGGCTTCAGTATGCTACATTTATACTACGAAATTACAAAGTGCTTTTAAGTGCAACCTTAGGCACTAGGCTATGCTAAGAGTCTGCAGAGTCAACATCACTTTGCTGTCCTTTTGAGTTTGCCTCACTAGCCACGTGTAGGCAGTGTTTAGATGTGTGGTGTTGTGGAGGCATCATGTGAACTCCCATATGCATTCTGTTCCTCAACATCTCCTAAATCAAATTCTGTGGGCCGCCTTAGAGTGAGCAACTGGTGCATGTCAACACAAGGAAAGCTAAGTATCATGAAGAAAGGCTTTACTGGTTTTTCTGGGACCTAGTTACCCATAGGCAGCTGTTCGCTGCAGCTGCAGTTATGACCTTGAAAAGAGCAATGTTGACCAAGATACTTTAAACGTATTCACCTGTAAATCCTGGTATGTACTGAGAAAGTTTATGGAGCCTTGTTTTTATTACCTAAGTGCCATAACATTTACTTTTAAGCATTTTCTAAGTTATCTATGTACCCCAGGCTGGCCTCAAACTTGTGGCAGATTCTTCGACTTCAGCCTGAGTGCTGGGACCATACCTGGTAGATTACCTTTTTAAATCACTAAAATTTAGCATGCCTATAGAAGTAAGTCAAACTTCAGTTAGTATGGTTTGCAAGAGAAGGCAGTTTTTTGTTGAACACACAGCAGACATGATTATCACAATCAGAGCCTGTTCACCTCACTGCTCAGCCTCAAAATACAAGGCATCCATTATAGAGCGGAAGGGACCATGCCTACCCAGTCATACCCAGCCAAGTTACACTGTGGCCTCATTCCCTCTAACCATTGCATCACTAGTACACTGGGAGGAGGGATCAGGATGCTTTGAAAATAACTGTCTATACAGAGGAATTTTAAATGATGGAAATTAGGAATTTTCCAGACTTTCTATCCCTTCAAAAAATGATCCAAACAAATGCTTTCTGAATCTCTGTGGTACTGAAGCCCTCATGTGTGCCAGCCTGTTCTGTCACTACTAGTGCTCTATAGTACAGTGCTCTGTTCCTGCTCTCCTTAGGCAGATGCAACTTCAGTGCAAGGGTGGACTTCTGTGATAAGTTATGGAGCCCAAAGCTTTCACTCCCTCTACAGGGCTTTGGAGGGGTCATACCAGTAAGTCAAATCCCTTCTAATAACAGACTAGACCTTCAAACACAAAACAGCTTGAATAAGTATTCTTAGGGCTCGTGAAATGGCTTGTGAAATGGCTCAAGCAAGGTGCCTGCCACCAAGCCCAATGACCTCAGTTCGATTCCCAAGACTCATGTAGGAGAGAACTAACTCCCCCAAGATGTTCTCTGACCTCCACACACAGGCTGCTGTGTGTGGAAGCATGTAACCCCACAAGCAAAAATGTAATTTAAAAACATTTTTTTAAGGCCGGGTGTGGTGGCGCACGCCTTTAATCCCAGCACTCAGGAGGCAGAGGCAGGTGGCTCTCTGTGAGTTCAAGGCCAGCCTGGTCTTCATAGTGAGTTCCAGGACAGCTGGGGCTACAGGGAGACCCTGTCCCAAAAAGACCAAAACCAAACAAACTTTAGAGTTTCCCCCTCAAGTCAGTACTTGCACTCCTTTACCTGCTGACAGTCTGCCTTCCTAACTGGTTCCTTTTGAAACCATTCTTTTGTCAGGGTACTTTCTAAAAGGTGGGAACTAAAATGGAACCCAAACTTCCTAATGGGCATGACCCAAAAGACTGCTACCCAGCCACAGCCCACCCTCCACAGAAGCCTCTTCAGGTGAAATGCTCCCAGGGAACCAGCATTAAGTTACCAGGTTCCTGTCTACTGTATGTTCTCCACAACTGTTAGGGTCCTTCCTGCTCTCCAAAACAGAGTAAGACTGGAACAAGCGTGAGCTTCAGAATTAATTTATGAGCCTATACAGAGAGATTTCACTTTTCACCCTCAAGGCTCATTCATAACTGAACCAAACAATCTGTTAAGAACTTACAATTCTGCGAGAAGCGAGTACTCCAGGTAAAAGGGTCCATAAGAAGCATGTGTGCCATTTGTTGACTGCGTTGCTGGGGCAGGAGATGTAGGTTTTGTTATGGGCAAAGCATTTTTGGGAATAGAAGGGAGCTGTTTTTTTGGTGCAGTTCGTGGAGGACTGGTTTTCACCTCCCCTGTTAGTGTCTTCTCTTCACCATCTGATCGCTATTTAGGATGAAATTGTGAGAATTTATGACAACTCTTAAATCACAGAGTACATTATTAGTTCCATTCTATCTTTTAAGCTAGAATTACTTTTATATAGAAATTCTAACACCATGGTCAAGATGCCTTGAAAGTCATCATAGGCAGGTCATATAAGGAGCAAACAAGACTGAAGTAGGACTAAAGCAGTTGGAAACTCATTAGTGGCATTCTATATGAAAACACAGCCAGTATTTTCACAAGCAAACAGAAACATTCTCCTAGTAGCCTCAAGAAGCAAGGGGTTACAAAGTCACAGGCAACCCATTAAGATCAGAGAAGTCCCTTTGTACACACAGATGCTCTAGAAAAGCAGGTACCAAGAAGTTCAAAATAAATAGTGTAGATGACTGAAATTAGTCACTCTGATGTTAGCACTTTGATAGAAACAAAAGAATGAAGCTATTATCTCACGTGTGTAGATCTCATTTTGATCTTGATACGTTTCCACATTTGTAGGATCACCAGCATACACTGTTATCCTTAGTCAACGAGAAGGTCAGAATGACCAGGAAATAAACTAGAATCTCAATGACATACCCAGCCTTGAGTATAACAAAGACTTTTAATTATGTATAAAAACTATATACTATAGCCAGGCGTGGTGGCGCATGCCTTTAATCCCAGCACTTGGGAGGCAGAGGCATGAGGATCTTTGTGAGTTCCAGGCCAGCCTGGTCTACATAGTGAGTTCCAGGATAGCTGGGGCTACAAGGTGACCCTGTCTCAAAAAAGACGAAAAAAAAAAAAAACAAACCCAAAACTATACACTATATATACATAGACAAAGAAAAGTAATTGTGGTATTGAGCCTGGAAATGGGATTGAGCTATTTTTTTATTATTGCTTTTATATTTAAGCTTTGGTAAAAAGAAAAATACACACACACACACACACACACACACACACACACACACGTTTTAAGTTTTGGCCAGGTGTGGTGATGCAAGCCTTTAATCCCAGCACTTGGGAGGCAGAGGCAGGCAGATCTCTGTGAATTCAAGATCAATCTGCTCTACATAGTGAGTTCCAGGCCAGCTGGGGCTACAGAGAGACCCTGTCTCGAAAAGACCAAAAAAACAAAGAAAAAAAAAAGTTTAAAAAATTTTTCGTTTATTTTTGGGGCGGGAGACACATATGCCATAGAGAACAAGTGATGGCCAGAGGACCACCTGTAGGAGTTAGTTCTCTCCCAACATGTGGGTCCTAGGGCTCAAACTCAAGTTTTCAGACTTGGCGGCAAGTGCCTGAGCCATTTCACCAGTCTGGAATATCGGTTTTTGGGGTTTTTTTTTTTTTTTTTTGAGACTTGGCCTAGAACTCACTGTGTAGACCAGGCTGACCTTGAACTCAATCAATGTATTTTTTAGTATGTATTTAAAAACTGTACATAGTGGCTCACACTGAAAATCCCAACCTTCAGTAGGCTAAGGCAAGAAGACTGCTGTTAGTGTTAGCCACAGTGAGTAGCAGGCTAGCCAGGCCTATAACAGCAAGACTTTGTACCCAAAGGAAAAAAAGAAATTTTATTTACAACAATTAATTTATGTCCCTCAATTCTCAGGTGACTTTACTGGACTGATGTTTCTTAAAGTTTCTCTTGAAATTTCAACTAAGAAACTTTTAGAAAGATGTATCACAAATTTCATCATGTATAATCTAAATGAAAATGATTTTGAAGTAGTGATTACCAGAACTTCTATTTGACATGTACTCTCAGCCTGAGAAACTGACTTTAATGATCAAAATTATTTCTCAAAAATAAAACTAGACAAACCAGGTAAATTTGCCAAAGATTATGGGTGACCTTGATATAGACCATTTTAACTTTCCTTCTGACCCTCCTTTCTGACAGAACTCTTCATTGACTATACCTACTTTTCGCACAGAGCCTGCAGACATGCTCCACAAAGGGTTCATAACGTGCACTCCAAAGAAATTCAGTGGTCTCTGTCATCCAACTCTTCTGTCCTCAGCATTCACTCTGCCTTGAAACAAATGGAAAAAAATACAAACATACCAACACCAAAAGTTAAACACTTCTGGGATGGTTAAAGACAGCACCTGTGATCTTGGAGACACAACACCTTAATATGCAGGACACAGTTATAGAAGCCTAAGAAATGTCTTAAGAGACCTTTAGGAATAATTTCCTTCTACACTCCCATCCACAATTTCTCCCACAGCTTCAGATTTCTTTAAGAATCTGAGCACCACAGCCAAGCATGGTAATCCCACCACCTGGGAGGCTGAGGTAGGAGGACCCAGATTTGAGGCCAGTTTGGATTCCAAGGAGATACCCTGTGTCACAAACAAACATCATCAACTGTGCACCAGGTCCCTTAGGCAGCATTTAGAATGTTCAGTGACACAATTCAGCTTTTGTGCCAACAATTCTAATGGTATGGAGTACAACACAGCAGTTGCTACTGGCATAATGTCTGGGCAGCTGACAAAGGGGAAAGCCATATGCAGGATGTACTGTACCACCTACACGAAAGTTGTATTACTGTTCCTAGGGTCAAGGTGGGTGACTTAGGAATGTCTTGAATGAACTGTCTTAAGTACAAAACTATTAGCCAAAGAAGTAAGACAAAACACCAATAGCAAAGCAAACCCATGTCAGTAAAGGGGGGTTACCAGAGTCCTGTCAGTACTACCCCAAGAAACTGCCCTTTAAAAATCTGGTTGTTCTTGCAGAAGACCTGGGCTCGAATCTCAGCACCCACATGGCAGCTAACAACTGTCCATAACTCCAGTTCCAGGCAATCTGATGGCCTCTTCTGTCCTCTGAGGGCATTGCATGACATGGGTGCACTTACCTACATGCAGGCAATACACTCATACACATAAAATAAAAATAAAATATTTTTAAAAATCATAAAAAACAGGGTCTCACTATGTAGCCCAAGCAGGCCTCAAATTCTCGGTCCTCCTGCCTCTGCCTTAGAGTACTGGGAATACAGGAATTCCTAGCAGAAATGGCATTTTTTTGTTTCTGATAGTGCTAATAATATGGAAATTCTGCAGTATTAGGCATTTACAGAATTGCTAGTGTGCAAATGCAGGAAGAGGTGCAAAACAGACATTCCACAAACAACTTCAAGTAGTGGAAAAGCAGCATGTCCCACAGGTCACAAGGTCAGTGGGTCATTACTAAATATACAAAGAAGGAAATAGTAACCGACCGCAGCTTAAGACTGTCTCGAGTTCTGCTGTGTTTAAAATATTGCCCCTTCTCTGGATTGCTTTCTGTACCAAAGGCTGAAGGTGAAAAGGGTCAAAACTTGGCAACTTTTCCTCAAATTCCTAAGAAGCAAATTATGTACCAAACATCTGCAATGAGCAGTGACCTGACTTCTCCCGTGGGCCTGACATCTATGGGTGGGTACCAGAACTGTCCCAGCCTACTACTGCTGTTTTGCTTTCCAGGAGGATAGTGCCATCAGGTAATTAAATCAGAGGATGGGGATCCTAGTTCCTTCACTAACCTATTGACATGAGCTCTACAAACCTGCTTTTAAAGGCGACTGACACAATGGTGTATCAAAAATGGGGATGGGGGGCCGTGTTCCTGTTTGCCCCAAACAAAAACCATATTGATTTTTCAGGACTAGCACTCTTGCCTTTTAAGGCACACCTGCTTTAACCAGGTATCTCCACCCCCTGGGAGCCTGGTGCTGACTTGTCAAGGTACTGGTGTGCTACAATACCTGTAAAGTCCCTTTCAACTCTACACATTATCATTCTGTCTTTGCCTTTAAGAATTCAATAAACCGGGCTGGAGAGATGGCACAGCAGTTAAGAACACTGTTCTTGCAGAAGACCCAGGTTCGAATCCCAGCACCCACATAGCAGCTAACAACTGTCCATAACTCCAGTTCCAGGGGATCCAACAGCCTCTTCTGTCCTCCATGGGCATTGCATGACACGGGTGCACTTACCTACATGCAAGAATAACACTCATACACATAAAATAAAAATAATAAAATATTTTTAAAAATTCAATAAACCGAGCCCTCAGTTCTTAATATCTTCAGTCAAGAGGTTCCATGTACCATCCATCGAAGTGGAATTTTAAACTTGGAGGGTTTGAGCCAGCAGGAACATCAAGCACAAGGAATCGTAGCAAACTTTACAAAAACAAACTACATCGTTCTCTAGATCTATCCTAAGTACAGAATGACAGTTAAATAGGAACGACAGATGGAAGACAAAGAGGCAACATCCTTATTCTCAGAAAACAGTATCAGAATTTCTGCTACTTCGGCTCTACGAACAAAACAGGATTGCTTGCCTTTACATCACAGAGCTGAGAGAAGTCGTTATCTTCGCCTGTGCGATGAATTGCCCAATGAGACTGGGCTGCGCGGGCTGTTCCTCCTCTGTGACATAGAGCCAACATGGGCACTAACTTATACATCACTCCAAACCGGGTTCACGAAATTTAACGTTAAAAGGCAACAAGGCAGGACCCAGGAAAGAGTAAACAGCTCTGGCTCCGGACAGGCTCGGTGGAGACAGCGGAGACGGGCAGCGAGCTGGGATGGCCACCCTGGCCTGGGGCACAAACCCGTCTCACAGCACTCTGAGAATCTGGACAAACCTGTCTCCAGGTGATGCAAGGCGGGTGCTAGGCCCCGGCCTCGGTGCTAGCTGGAGGCCGGCTGGGGCCCGCGAACCTCTCCCACAGAGGCTGAGGCCTCGGGGCTCCTTAGGTCCCTTCGGCTACGGAGTGGAAGCCGGGTCGGGCCGGTGGGGCGGGTTCGACGGGAGCGCCATGAAGCCTCCTCTCTGCCGCAGGCGGCCTGGCTCCCGCCGCAGCCCCCCACTGCGGACTGCGGGCGAAGGCCGCGCAGCAGGTGCCTGCGAACGCGCACAGGTGCCGGCCCCGCCCCCGTGTCCCAGCGCGGCCGCCGTCGCCCAAGAGTCCCGGGCACCCCGCAGGGCAGGGGCGCGCCGGCCCCGAGGACCGGAGAGGCTCGGACCTACGCTCCCAGCGGCCCTCGGCTACCCGTCTACCAGTGAGCAGGGCGCCTTACCTCACCGCGGAGCTCCAGCAGCCAAGCGCCGCGGTGGCCCCACAGCATCCCTGCCCGCAGCGGAGCCCGGCCCCTACAGCTCCCCGCCCGCTACGACCGCCCCGCCCCGCCCTGCCCTGCCCCTCGGGCCACGCCCTGGCCACGCCCCAGCCCGGCCGCTTCCGCCCAGCCTCCCGCTCGGAGTGGCTGGCTCTCCATCCATCAAGGACGTGCTTCCGGGAGGCGTTGGGAGACGGCTGCACGTTCTGCCAATCAAATCTGCTCCTCTCGGGTGGGGCCGCGCTGGTCCCTCCTCTTACGTAACAGCGCCCAGGGAGAACTGTCAGTCAAGGAAGCCTCAGCCCCGAGGGAGGCGCGGGGCGGAAACAAACAGGCACCTGGGCGCCATTGGACGGGGCAAGCGCCAGTCACTATGGAGACCCGCCCGGAGGTTTATGCGGCAGGCGTCGCCGCCATTCCGCGACGGGAATTGCGGGCGTGCGGCTCAGGGCGTGGGGCTGGTCGCTGAGAAAAGCAGCGGGAGCTGAGCGATCCGGACGCCGCGAGGTCGAGCGCCACGTCAGGGCCACCCGGAGTGGAAGGGGCCGGGCAGCTGGGGTGGAGGAACGCCCACTTCTGCTGAGGCTGGCGTTCTGGCGGTGCTGCCGGCCGGGGCTCACCTCCCGGCCCCTAGCTCCGCCTGGGCGCCCCGCCCTCCGCTTACCTGTAGTATCCGAGTAGGTGGATCTGGAGCCGCCGGAGTCCACCTAGGTCACAAGTTCCCGCACCTGCTCTCGGTCCTGACCTGAAGCACCTTTACCACTTGTGACCCTTTTCTGCCCAGATGCCTCTCCCGGGCCCATTTCTCGCTCAGTAAAACCAAAAACCTCGCCTGGCTTTCAAGATACCCCTTTTCTGGCTTCTTTCTCGTCTAGGTCTCGGCACCCAGATTCTGTGAGGGCTTCAGTTAGCTCTGAACCCTCGGAGCTTTCCCGTGGGATGGCCCTCTAATCTTGCCGGTTCTAAACACCCCTATCCTTCCGTGTCCCCCCCCCCCCCAGTTTTCTGCCCCTTTCTAAACAAGAGACTAGGGTCTCTTGCACCGCCTAGTTTCAGTGCCTTACGCCCCAAAGAACCGTTCTCTGACCAGCTTATTTGTTCCATTTCGGGTGCCTCTGAGATTCTGGTAGATGACTGTGGCTGGAAGCCAAACTCATGATGGCTAGCCCAAGGATTAGTTCTCAAATCCAACTTCCTCCCCCGGCTGAAAACAGGCCTGAGCCGCTTTTATCAGTTTGGATATATTTAAGAATGTTCCAGTCCCTTTATTACTGGTCTTAAAAATAAAAGGAGGGCAGGCTGAAACTCCTTTTGTGGCCACAGAAAACAATCTTTCTTGGTACCTCTGTGACCGTTTTCTCCCAGTCTTTTCTGCAGGGTCATCATCCTCTCCCAAGACTTACTCTAATCTCTTCCTTCCCCAAGCTTCAGTGTTCACTGAGCATCAACTCCCATTTCTCAAGGCACAACTGTCACCTGAATTTCATATACATGCATCTAACAGCCCACCTGGCACTGGATACTCAGATTGTTAATCCCCATGTGAGGCTGCTTACACCTACGCATGCCCAAACCCAACTCCAACTGGTTTACAGAGCAAGGGGGTTCTCATGTGGGGAGGTGGGCTCCAAGGAGTGTCGCTGCTGGTCTGGAATCACACTTAGGGGCTGCAGCCACAGGGGAGCATCCAATGTCTAGCTGATACAAAGTAACCCTGTGTTCCCAGATCGCTTGTGCAGGACAAGAATGCCTTTCCCTAGAAGAAATGACCTCATGTTTTAGAGAGCAGGCCTGACTCACTGGGTCTCTGTCCACAACTGAACCAATCATAGGCCTGGAACTGAGTTGCCATGATTTGCTGGCAGACTCATTGACTCTGGATTCCTTTAGGTAGAGGAGAGACACCCACTGATGTTGAAGACATATCACTTTGTGCATAGAGTGGACAGAAAGGACACCCAGAGTGCCTCGGGAGACAGTTATGTGAGTTTGATGCAAAGATGGAAAAACTGAATGAGTTCCAGAAATATTTAAGGGGTGGAGTGGAGAAAAGTCAGCCATGGACTAGATATTGGGGGGGGGCGGATTTTTCAAGGATAGTGTCTAGATGTTTGGGTTGAGTGACTGGCTGGGTGGTTAGACCATTCAGTGAGATAACGGAGCAGGTTTGGGAGGGTGGGAAGTAGGAAACGAGCCCCCCTTACTCATTTCCCGCTCCTTTGTTTCTCACAAATGTTGAAGAGTTCAAGCCCTTTAGTGATTGCCCATTGGTTCCCTACTAGGCAAAGACCAAACTTCTCACCATGCCTGTGAGTCTGGCCCAGCATCCCCAGGCCCCAATCTCCAGCATTCTTTCAGTACCTGGTGGTGTGCTGCCCACAAGAGGGGGGCCTTGCCACTAAATGCTTCCTTGATGCCTTTCTCCACTCCGTGGCTCTCAGCTCAAACACCCTTTGTCCCAGGGCAGTGTGCTGTTTCCTTCGGGGCTGACATGATGGGGTTCATCTCTGATGCTAGTCTGTAAATTCTGTGAGGGAGGAACCATGTCTGTTTGTCTCCTTTTTTTTTTCCTTTGTTTTGGTCTTTTTGAGACCGTCTCCCTGGAGCCCCAGGTGGCCTGAAACATGCTATTGTAGACCAGGCTGGCCTCCGTCTATCTCCCAGAGATCTGCTTACCACTGCCTCCTGAGTGCTGGTGCTGAGATTAAAAGTGTGAGCCACTAGGCTCTGTGTAGTGTGTCTCTCTGTTGCCTTCCTGGCATCCAGCCCCATGCCTGGATGGAGTAGGGACATAAAACTTTGTAAATAAAGCAAAGAAGCAACTGAATGATATTTGGAATAGTAGCCTGTACACCCCTTGCTCTGCACCCAAAGTAAGTTGAAAAATGGTTCTTTCCAAAATACAAGGACCAGCTGGTGAGATGCCTCAGCAGCTAAAGGTGCTTGCCACCAAACTTGGCCACCCGAGTTCATTGTCCAAAACTCACATGGTAGAAAGAGAGAACTGACTCCTCCAAGTTGTCCCCTGACCGCCACATGTGCATGTGAGACACACACACACACACACACACACACACACACACACACACACACACAAATATTAAGAAAACTAGATTGGTGAAAGCACACCTACAGTTAGGTCTTTAACAATGTTTCCAGAGATTCATGAGAGCTCTGTCCTAATGAATGGGTTAATCCATTGATGGACTCAAAATTGAATAGAAAGCAGGGGGGCATGTGGTAGCACAAACCTTAGTCCCAGAACTTAGGAGGCAGAGGTTGGTGGCTTTTGCCCAAGTTCTCTTAGGGTCCCTGGCTCCTGGTGCTATTAGACAAACCATATGACACATCTTTATCTGAATTTTTCATAGTTTATATCCGGGTAGGGGGAATAGAGTAAACGCTTGGTGCCCCATTCTGCTCTGTGGGTCAGTGGCCCACTTTCCAGATTACTTCTGAGCCTCCCATAGTTTCCGTTAGCTTTTGTCCACATTTCGTGGGCCTGCGGTCTCGCCCCAGGTCCAGCCAGACATCGGGCCATTCTTTCCATGCTGCTGCTGCCAAGATGGCGCCAATGCTCCTCCCTCTTGGCTAACTCTCTGCAGCAGGCCCTGCCCCTCGGAAGAACAAATACCCCTCGGGACACAGTGGCTCTAGAAGCCAGCCTGGCCTATCTAGCAAGTTCCAGCCCAGCTAGACCTATGCAGAGACCCTGTCTCAAAAAGACCAAAAGCAAACCTACAAACAAACAAACAAAACCAATTGAATAGAGAAAATGAAATGGTGCAGTGGCTCAGGGGCTAAAGTCCTGTCACCAAGCCTGCTGATCTGAGTTTAAATCCTGGAACCCACATGGTGGAAGAAGAAAACTGACTCCCACAGGTTGTCCTTTAACTTCCTCATGTGTTGAGTGGCATCTTTGTGACCACTGCTATTTTGAGTACTTTGTTGTTGTTTGAGACAGGGTCTCCCTGTAGCCCCAGCCTGCCTGGAATTTGCTATGTAGGCCAGGCTGACTTTGAACTCACAGAGAATTCTGCCTCCCAAGTGTTGAAACTAAGGGTGTGCAGCACCATACCTGGCCTTGAAAATATATAAAAATATCAAAATTTAATAGATGGAAGGTAGAGTCTGGAGGATGGAAATAATTTGCTCGGGGTGTGTCCTGAGGTTGTAGCTTGCCCTCAGCCCCTTCCTCTTTGGGCTCCTCTCTGCTTCCTAGCCACCATGAATTGATCAGCTCTGTTCCACTCTACTCTCCCTTCCATGATAGTCTGAAACTATAAGTTAAATGCAGTCTTTCCTTCCTAAGTCATGATGCCAGGTACTTTGCCGTAGCAATGAAAAGCTAACACAATAATGATCCTTGGAAATGGCGGAAACCACAGAGTTTTGAGAACTACTGAAGACAGAGACACCACTACGGAGGGAAGACGTCACCTTTGTCCTTTCTGTGTCTCATACGGATCATTTAAATTATTGCTTATAGCAGCACACTTGTGCTTCCAGTTTGGGGGATACACCACACTTTATCCCTCCATATTCCCCATAATCCCTGGCCTTGAGTAAATAGTTGGATTGCTGAATGGACAATTGAAAGACAAATGTCACAGACTACTTTTCAAAAAGAAGTCAGGATATCTAATGGGTCACTTATATATGGCTTAAAGAGAAACTACCTATATACAACATTGATGTTCACCCAGGACTAGAGGAGACTTGATTTGCTTTTATAATCAAATAACATCTTGAACATGGCATGATGCTTGCAAATAACTACCCCCCTCTTGATGCTGATGACTACATCGCCAGCCACAAGAGCAATCTGCTCATTGATTGACATTATCTTTGATAAACTACCTCCTTCTGTGGTTTAAAGCTTTTGGAAAGATGTTAAATACTTAGTGTCCATTTTAACTAGCATGGAAGACTAAGAAACAGAAAATTAGACCAGGTGTGGTGGCTCACGCCTGTAATCCTAGCACTTGGGAAGCCGAGATAGGAGGAGATCGTGAGTTCATGGCCAGGCCTGGCTGCACAGTAAGTTTCAGGTCAAC